AGTGATAGAGCAAAATAACACAAAAGTGAATGAATATTTTGGTAACTAAACTTTGTTTAAATTTCATTACAACAGACTTTCACAAGCATATGAGAACATCTTTTTCTCTGGCAAAATATAAGAGAATTAACATATTTTAAGATTAGTTGAAAATTTTTTTAGTGAACTTTGAGAGACGAGAGTGAAGAGAGACAGATAGGTGAGAAACAGAGTTTGTTTTAAGTGTCTTACATCACGACGTGGTTTGAAACATTGCAGAGAAAATTAGGCAGCAGACAAGGTTGTAAAGGCAACGCTAAGAAACTTCAGTGCTACAATTCCAACGAGTTTGGACATTTTGCTAAGTTTTGCCGACCAAAAATGAAAATCAAAGATCGGTTGGCAATGCAAATTGCCCCGTCAAAATTTTCAGAGAAAATCGAAGATGTGTTTAGAAAATAAGCTTGAGGAATAGAAAACTGACACAAAAATGTTTGAGTTGAAAAATACTTTGTACGATCCTGACAGTTCAAAAACTTAACAAATGTATCAAATTTCAAAAAAATAGAATCAGAAGCGGTTTTTGGTGCGAGTCTGTTTGATCCTCAGGAAAAAGGATCTTTTTATACGTTAAGAGCGAGTTGGTCTCTTTTTGTGGGAAACTGTTGTAAGAAAATCTAGTAATATGCTCAAAAAACATTGAAACAGAATGGTAGAAAGACCCATTTTTTTTGAAAAACTTGTCGAAGGAAGGAATTTTTTCAGTTTGAGAAGAGCGAAATTTCCGAGTTGAACAAAACAAAATAGAAGCTTTTTGCTAAAAATTGTTAAACCGGGTTAACCAAGGCTCTAGGTAAAATTTACAAGTGAAATTTTCTTTTTTCTCCCAGATAAGGTTTAAGATTACATTGGTCAGGATTTTACCGAGTTTTGTTTAAAGACTTTCAGCTTCCGCTCCTTATTTACTTTAGAGACCGGGAAGATAGGATACTCCAAAAACTGGCAGCATATTTTTTGATGCAAACAAAATGAAAATTCAACGCTCTGAATCTGGAAACTAATTCCTTTGCTATAGTTAAAATATGCGATGAGTCTATGTGTTTTGTAAAAAAAATTTTAGGATGTGTTAAGTACAGTTTTAGGGAAAAAAATTTTGCAAACGTTAGTCGTAATTTCGAAAAAGGAGTTTTCTGGGGGACATCAAATAATAGTCAGATTAGTCTGATAGAAATTGTTTAGAAGGAAAAATTGAGGTGCAGAATTTTTTTTGCTTTTTTGTTTTTGATTAATCTAAATTGTGTTATCAGAAGAGAAAAAAAATGACGAAAAAAAGCAGTTGATGTAGATTTTTTGTTGAAGAATGGCACAACCACTTAGCTAAATTGCTATGAAAGCGTTAGCAGAACCTGCTTGAATACAAACCATTAAAAAAGTTTATTTCACTAAAGAAAAAGGAAGTTTGCGAGCTAGTTAGGAGTAAAGGACTGAAACATATAGGCAGCCGAAGGCATTTTAATTAAACAAAGTACCTATTGGTGAACTCATTATGTTTAAGGCTAAACTTGTTGCAGCAGGCTTTACTCAGTTTTAGGGGGGTGGGTTTTTCGCAACTTTTTTTCAACTATTCAAAAATGTCAACCCTAGGATCAGTTCAGTTCAAAATGAAAACCACCAACTTGGATTCCAGCAGTTCGCCGAATAAGAATTTTTTTTGGGTTTGTGTTTTGAGGGAAAGTCTTAAAAGACTCACGCAGTTCATTAAACTCACTGGTAGATACTGTTGAAGATCGTTAAAGCCTATTTTGAGAAAACAGGCTCTGAAAAATTATTTTTTATTGAGTGCATGTTTCTTGATAGACAGAAATTTTAATTAATAGATAATAGGTAGATGATGTTGTGGCTTGTAGAGCGGATAAAAAAACTTGAGCATGGACTGAAAAACCAATGTGAAAGTGTTGAGATAAACGCAATAAAAAATCTGAAGTAGAATATTTTGATAACGGAATCATATTAAGTCAGGAAAATGAAAAACGAAAAATGGGTTGCGAGATTTAAGATGACTGAAGCCGGTAACAAGCCCTCTAGGTGAAAACGAAATTTGACAAAAAAAATTGTACATCAGAAGGTGCCGTAGAATAAATATTTAAGAAAAGTGTGACAATCGAGGCTTTGTTGGTTGTCTAATTTTCTAGCTTTGTCAAGTAGGCCAAAAATTTGTTTTGCAGCAAAACTTCAGGTTTTTTTTTGTGAAAAACCCAGATAGAAAGCATTAGAAAGCGGAAAATTTTTTTCTAAGTTATCTGCTAGTAGCTAAAGTCTCATCTTTAGTCAATATGAAGGATAAAATTTTGGAACGTGTTAGCTATTCGGTAATTTGTCTGGGCTAAAAATTAAGACTATAGTAGGAGAAAATCAGGATATTGTTAGGAAACCTGCGACAACCCAGGCATGATTATTTGGTCCAGCGAACTCCAATGTTGTGTATCAATTTCATCAGTCAAAGTGCAATTTTTTTTTCTACTAGCATCAATTTGTCTATATATTTTCTCAAATAAATCTTCTAAAATGATCCATTTTGAGAAAAGTTTTTTTTACTCAAATCAAACCTCAAAGAATAGACAAAACCTCAAATAAGACAAAAAAAACAAAACTGATAGTTTCAGGGAAAACCTTTAAAATTTTTGACTGTCGCTTAGGGCATTTGAAGCAAATTTAAGAAAAAACATCAAACGAATTTGAATTACAAACGAGAAAAAGGCAATTGATAATCTTAGTTAATACAAAAAATTAATCAAAGTGTGTTCATTAAAACTTGTTTTGATTCAATTTTGGAGCAAGATCAGTTCAACGCAGTTTCTCAGCTTAATTCGAACATTGTAAGCTCTGACTGCTCTTCAATTTGGATCGAATGGGAGAGAAAGGAATGAAAACTTGAAGTTCAAGAGTGAAAATTTGAAGAAAAAAAAAACAGAACTGCTTGTATATCAAGGCAAAACCCTCATCCATTTCGACTAAATTTTTCGGAAAGTAAACTATTGAAAAATGATAACGTTTGGACAATAACAAAGATCAACTGTGAAAATTTGAGTCGTACAAAATTAATATGAACGATTAGTTAGCCTCAATTCAGTTTTATTGGGCGGGATAATTCGCCACTCATAAATAGCGCTGTTTTAAGGATTATGGTTGGAAGCTTCAATACTTCCTGTACAATGTCTTGGAAAAATTTTGTCATAAATCAATCATTAAAATGTCAAAATTTGTCTGGCGAAAAAAAAACAACCCAAAGCACAAACATTACTTCATTTTCTTTAAAATTAATCAGTATAATTACGACCAATTAGTTTGCGCCTTTTTTTGGAATATTTTAGCGTGGAATAAATCGCCACGCATACTGCGCATAAATTGTCACGCATACAGCTTCTAAAACCCACATAAACTAATCCAGAGCATGGCTCATTTGACAATTTTTGAACTCCAAAAAACATCGAAAATTGAGTTGAAAAACCATTTGGAAAACTAAAAAAAAACAATTTCTTAAAAAATGCTTTTTGTTTTGGGTAAATTTAACTCAATGTTAAATATAATTGTATGTTCGAGACATATAAATAAATACATGCAAAAAAAAGAGTTTATTTTCCGAAATTCGAAAAAACTTCAAGTTTCGACTTTAAAACAGCACTTTTTGAATGAACAATTTTGTATAGTCTGAAACAAAAAATTACAAGAGTTCAATATAAGGAAACATTTTAGGGGATTTTTTTCGTATAACTATGAGATGTTGTTTTTGAGACTACTTAGGTCAATTTGGCATAATTTTTGCGCGATTGTTACCAGCTTTCTATTAACGCGTAACTTGTGTGGCAAAATGAACAACTTCAAAAATATTTGAGGCAACTTAATTTCTGTTACTAACTTTTAGAACGAGAAGTTTCTCAGTTGGTACTAAAACTTTGTATGACAAAGCAGGTTGTAGGTCAAATTAGCCACTTATAAGAAAAACCAGAAATCTTTTGAATTAAAATTTTTGGATTTTTTTAAGGTTATCGACCAACAAATGGTTTGCAAAAATAGAGTCAAACATGAAGAACAATAGTTAGCAGTAAACATCTGATTTAAATTATCCGGATAAAACGAACAAAACTTGAATTATCAAACACGTTTTTCTCAAATTGGGTTAAGACTAGACAAAAAATGAAGGGAACAAAAGTTGCTTAGATTTTCATAAGAATTAATTTGGTACAATTTTTCTTCGAAATTCTCAACCAAAATGTTACCCCAAAAATGGGTCATTTTGGTTTTTTCATTTAATCAAGAAACAGGCTGAAACTATTGTGTTAACTGATAAAAAAAATATATCGCAAGATGCCTCTTACACAGCCCAACAAAAGTCTAGAAGGGTTAAGTCTCCAACAATTTGACTAAGTATTTAAAATTTGTTTTTAAGCAAAGATTTTAGATTTCATTTAGTGAAAATCACCTTTCTTGACTATCAAGCAAAAATATTTTCTCTTGTACAGGTTTTTGGAGATTTAACAATTCTAGATGGGCTGTGTAAGAGGCTTCTTGTAATATAAATTTCTCATCAATTAACAAAGTAGTTTCAGCATAATTTTTGAGTAATTGAAAAAAACCAAAATTACCCATTTTTGGGGTAAAACTTTGGTTGAAAAGTTCGGAGAAAAACTTGCACCTTATTAATTCTGAACAAATTTTAAGCAACTTTAGTTCTCTTCCCTTTTTGTCTAGTCTTAACGCAATAGGAGAAAATTGTGTCTGAAAGTTCAAGTTTTGTTCATTTATTCCGGATAATTTAAATCAGCACTGTAGTCCGCAAACACATATGCGAAAAATCTATGCATTATACTCATAGGAAAGGCATGCAGCTGTTTCAGCGCTGTCTCTTATATTCATTTTCCAATTTTTGTGAATAATTCAGAGACAAATCGGGCAAAAAGCAGTTGATCCAAGCTGAAATCAACTTCCTGTCACTTCGGAACAGGAAGCTATATGTACTGAAAAAAACATCTGACCATTAGTGAAACCTCAATCAACCAAAAATATTATTTATCCAACAGATATACCAATTTTTCAGCTTTTTTATTTTTATATATTTTTTGCTGCAGCACTGAAATGTTGGCAGTTTTGTACCAAATTTTTTGGATGCTGCAAACATCAGTCTGGACTGCAAACGGGAAATGTAACCAGATACAAACCCTAAGTTCTTCGACTCATGAGGAACTGGAAAAATTATGTCACTGTGCGGATGATTTTGTTTCTGCCAATATCACTTCAGACCGGGTTCTGTTTGAGTTCAAGACCAAGTGTCCTTTCGTGCATTGCCCTGAGGCTCTCGGCCCTGGTGAAGAGAAGAAGTTTGTTCATGGTGTACTTAAGAAGGCGACCTTCATCGGAGATCCGATTGACAACTACCAAAGTGATTCTTGTTTTTCGTCCAACTTGAATTGTTAAAAATACTGATCGCATCGTTTTTTACAAACCAGAGTCCCCTTTTTCTTCCTTTATCGCAAAACAGAATGTTAAATTTCCCTATACTGTTCAAAAAGCCTGGAAGCAAAAAGTACAAACTAATAAAAAGGGACAGAAGCTAGCGGACATTTTTACCAAAGAAAACTAGGGGGATATAAATTTTGTTCTCGTGTATTGTCATTATAAGCCCAAAAAATGTACGAATTCTGGTTTCAAAAACCATCCTAATAACTGCAATAACAACCTGCAATTTTCAGTTCTACCTGAATGGGGACCCTGGATGCCCTGGAGCCACGGATGTCTCAGTTAGTATGCCAAACCAGAGTTATCAACAAGGCAGAAACTTCGATTGGCAAAAACTTCCATACAATCAAACCTTGAAACTTCTGAAACTTTCAATCTCCGACTAATTTGTGATTGAAATAGTTTTGGAAGTCTTTGAAAGTTTTGAAAGGCAGTTTTGAAAGTCTTTTTAAAAAAATCCACCACCCCCTCTTGAGAAATTCCTAGATCCAACCATGGCAACAGGGGGAAAACGCTCCTGACAGCAAGAGATACCAATCAAGTTGGAAGATATTTAATTGTTTTTAGCAGATGATGGGGTCCAACTGTACAAGAAACGCACCCGCAAGTGTGTGCACAATGTGGCTCGCTGCGTTCCCAAAGACATGCCGTGCAACGGCATCTCTGAATTGCGAAAGGAATGTGGTAAGAAAGGCTCATATCATAGGCCTCAATTTTCAGTAATCTTTGGAATATTTGATTTTGAATTTGAAATCTAAATATCTTTTCGCGATACATGTAAAACAATTTTCAGTTCAATATGCTTAACAAAGTTAGGTCCAAAAGCTTTATTTTTCGTTCCGATGAATTCTATGGAACAATTGTAGTTTCAAATGTGTTTTTGTTTGTCACGCAAAACAGGCATCTTAATTGATTGTTGTAGCGCTACCATCAGCCATGAATCGAGATGCATTCAACGGTTTCAAAAAAAGTGTCGAGAAATGTTTTTTTATCACTTTAAGCAGCAAGCAGATATAGTCATTTTCAGGAGAGCTCAGAAATTTATTTTTACCGGCATAAAAAACTATGCGAAATGAGAATATAGCTAATTAAATTATAATTTCATAGTAAAAAAAAATCATGTGGCAAAAAATATTGGCTAAGTGGTCGCGTGAACATCATCAACTACAAATTTTTAGACTTTCCTCCAGCCATCGAAGTTCACACTCAGACCCCCTCCAGCATAACAGTGGGAGTGAGAAACGGATACGGCATCCCCCATCACAATCTCTACTTCGAAGGAGTGCAGGTAGCCGAAAACTTGACTCAACAGTGGTTCACCATGACTGGATTGACGCCTGGGACTTCCTACAACGTATCCGCTTCGTCTTATGCATACGGGATGCGCAGTGGGCTGGGATGGAAAGTAGCATGCACAAGTAAGATTGACTAAATATTTAAACAATCAATGCAAAGCTCTGAAAAACTACAATGACCTTTTGAAAACTTTCTATTGAACAAATTTGAACATAAAAAAAGATTTAAGACTTTTTGATCAATCTCTTAGATAAGCAATTGGTTTTAAATATAATTTACATCGCTTGTTGGGTACGAATTAGCTGAGTATAAAAATTATCCAAATTTTGGATAACGTTCGAAGAAAGACAGTAGCGTAAGTAGGGTGTGGCGCAGCAAATTTAGTAAAAATAGGTTGTTTCTAGTCATTTGGTACATCTCGAAAAATCAATGTGGTCGAAATACGTATATTTTTTAAATAATCCCTCCACTCGACAAATTTCTGAAACCGCCCTTGAAGAAAGGGACGGACTACCTCTGCCCAGGCGTTTTTTTTCTCCAGACAAGTTTCAGCTTTTTAACCATCCTTTTTGTTGGAGTTTTTCTGTACCATCTAAAAAAATGATAGATTAAGCTTTAGACTAAAAAGTTGCACTTTCGACAAATTATTGAATTGTTCTGAGGATTTGATTTTGGAGACTAAATTGTTCAGTTAAGGGTATTTAGTTCGCAATTGTTTTAGCAATTTATAACGTATTAAAGCAAAAACGGCTAATTTAATTGCCCAACAGTGAAAAATTTTATGATTTTTTACTTCAGGGGATAGGGGATAAAATTAGTAACAGGATCAAAAACTTCCCTTTTTCATGATTTTTAACCAAAAATTTATATCGATGTTTAATGACAGTCGGAAAATTCAGGATTTAGCCTTGACACTAGCTATTTTGTTTTATATTCAGACCTATATCAACTATTTAGTTAATTTTCTGAATCTTTTAAAAGACATTAAAATCTGAGCTAAAAAGCAAAACGTATCAGCCTGTTTTTTTAAAAAAAAAAACGTTATTAGTGACTAGAAAATTGCTGTTTTTGAATATATTCTGCGCGCCGTTTTTCTTATGAACGCGTAACGCGGCGAACTAAAATAACAAATTGAGCTGGGCAACTTAATTGGTCAGATGAGCAAATTAATTGTTCTGATTATCTTGTTACCAGACAAAAAGATATGACTTTGTACTTGGGGATGGAAGGATTAACAATAACAGAAGTTGGAGTTCACATGTTAATTATTTTTTGCTGAAATTGACAAATTGCCTATTTTAAATAACCCTTAATTACTTTAAAAAATGTATAAGAAATCAAAATTCAAAAAACAAAATCAAAAAATCAAAAATATCAAAAATCCAATAAGCCCTTCTTTCCAAAAAAGAGTTTATACTGATACAAAAATCTGAGCGCAAATAACAAAATGTTCACTAATTTTATTTGTTCACAAAATCTTTTATTTGGAAAACCTAATTCACAAACTTAGGGTCTTTCTCAAAGAGCAATATCGGAGGTTGAAGAGCAAATTTGTTTGCATTTCGCAGATAAACTGCATTTAGAATTGCTTGTGTTGTCATTAATGTTGCAATTAAAATTTTTGACCTGCTTTCAATTTGGTATAAAAGTTTTGTAACTCAAGAACAAGCTTTCTAATCGACTTAAAACGAAAGCTTGTCTTACAAAAGCCAACAAAACGCTAAATTTTAAAATTCTGCTTTGGATATTTTTATCATATGATCTTCAAGACTTGAAATATTGGTTGATGAAAAAACGTTTGAGCTTATGTTGAAAACAATTCAGCACTTTTTTCAGCAAATGCAGATTTTTTCAATTCTTGTAAGATCTTGGGGTCTTATGCACAAAAGGGGTCTTATGCACATCTGCTTGAAATTTCCATTGAAATGCCGGACCATGTTGTTTGAATTTGCGTACCTGATTAGACAATCACGTTCAACCTTAATACTTTGAGTTCAAAAAAGATGTAGAAAACTGATTTAGTGCATAAGACCCAGATTTTGTATGGATTTGAAGGATTCTTAAAAACTCAAAACATTTCTTAAGATCTTACAAGATAAAAATTGCTCAGAAACTTTTCAATTGAGACTTGATAAATTTCAAAATTCTGACAGCAGATTTTAAGTCTTTATTTATAGACTAAGCGAGCAATTTTCTCCCTTAATCATTTAAGGGAGTTCACTCGGTTAAAACTAACATTTATTAGCCAATCAGGTTTGAGCATGCAGGCCTTACTGCTTGATTTTGGCATTGGTTCACTTGGTCTATTTAGGGAGGAGATTGTTCACATGGGCCCTTTTTTTTTTAAATTGATGGATTTAGGGATCGTAATCGACAGAAAACTATCTTGATTTTTAAGTTCAAATCATGGAAACATATGTGAAAATTGCAAATAATGTTTAAATTTCCGCAAACAACTATAACCACTTGTTCACAAGTATTTAATGGAAATAATTTCTGCTAACACAATTACAAGTTTTTTGAAGATAAGTCAGCGACAATACAATTTTGTTTTGAGAATGGGTGCGTACTCCGAACAAACGCTTTTTTGTGTCAAATTCTTCGAAAACTGCCCTTTGGCTTGTTTTGTGTGAAACTATATGTGAAGCGCGCATATCAATGTCTAGATTTCTCCAGCGTTTTCTAACAGCTGGATAATCATTGGCTCTTTTTTTCTTTTCCCCTCTCACTTTGCATTTTTTATCACTTGGAAAAAAAACATGATCCCCTTGACTTTCCCATCTTCTGTTCTTTAAGCTTTCCTGGAACCAGATGGCGTGACTCTATCTCATCAATCCAACTCAACTGTGCACATAAAGTGGAACTACACAGTGGGTGGTTTGTTCGAGGTGTTCTTCAATGGATCACTCTCTTTCGTCATTACGCTCGAGGGAGAGGACTTCGAGACAACAACCGGTCTACTAGTGAGTGCATACCCGCTCTGAGTTTTATGAAAAACGCGCGATCAATTTAAAATAAAGGATCAACCGTACAATCGCCCAGATTTAGTGGAGGAGGGATAAAACTGCCTTCAGATAAGAGGGGGAGGGGAGAAATTGACTTTGGGGTCAAAATAAGTTGATCTACATTACTCCCCGGGTTGACCTCCATAGACCGAAAATGGTAATCATACATTTTCATACACTTAGTCTATGGAAAATTGCTAGTCATACAAATTTCATACATTTTTGCAAAATGAGTTTAATCGAATTTCAAAGGTATTTCAGTTGTTTTGGTATCGAAATTGGTATCTCTTCATAAAAAAGGGAAAAAATGGTATGAAAAAAATGCTAACCATACAATTTCCATATATGGAAATTGTATGATTAGAATTTTCTTTAAATTTTTTTTTTGTGAAAAAAAGCTTTGATCAATCAATTCAACTGCTGGCAAAACATTTAAGCGTTTTCTGGGCTGCTACGACTAAAACCTTTGACTTTTTTTAAATTTTTGTTTTCTGAAAAAAAACACTATTCATACAATTTCCATATATGGAAATTGTATGACTAGCATTTTTTTGACGGCGACATTTTTTTGATGGCGAGTATTTTTGAATGTGCCCCCAAAAAATTTTTGTGCTTTTTTTTCAACCGCAAATTGATTTTCGTATTCAAACAAACATTTTTTGAAAAAAATTTTGCATGCAAAATTTATTTTTTTTGTGTGTATAACGTAGTCCTGGATACACTAAATTGGACTTTTTTTCTTTTCTCTTCATGAACGCTTAAAATTCCTCTTTCTTTTGTATGACATGTTTTTGTGTGCCTTGATCAATGTCTGGTAATTTAAAAACTCAAATTCTAGAAATAATAATCTTTGAAAATTATTGCCAAAATTTAAAAGTTCATTACTTTCGTTATATTATTTGTCTGAGACAGTAGTAACACATGTCTAGCTGTTTCCAATGCATTTTTAATGCGAGACGGCCAAACCGTTGGTTACTACGTTTGAGTAATCAAGGTTTATGTCATTTGTGTTCGGTTACGAACACAACCAAAAAATTTTGAGAAATTAAAATGTAAAAAAAACAATATTTTTGGTTTATGGAAAAATGCTAGTCATATAATTTCCATATATGAAAAAAATACTAATCATAGACCTTTCATGCAATTTTCTGTACGTATGGAATTGTATGGGAAGTGTATGACTAGTATTTTTCCATATATGGAAATTGTATGACTAGTATTTTTGGTCATCCCGGGTCAAAACAACCAATCGACACCCAGTTAGTAAGTCGTGCCGTCAGTCTTTTCTTAAGTCGCGACACTTCACACTTTCCGTAAAATCTTTTCTTAAGTTACGCCGCTAAAATGGATTTTTAAGTCACGCCGCCTGCATTTCTGTAAGATGTGAATCAGTCTTTTCCAAATCGCGGTGTCAGTCTTTTTTGTACATCGCGCCGCTTAAGACTTTCCTTGAAACTAGCCGCTAAAATCATTTCTCAAGTCGCGCCGTCAATCTTTTCGTAAGTCGCACCGTCACTCTTGTCGTAAGTCGCGCTGGCTAACTTCTTCGCAAGTTGCGTCGACATTTCTTTTGGTAAGTCATGCCGCTAAAGTATTTTGTTAAGTCACGCCGTCAATCTTTTCGTGAGTCGCACCGTCAGTCTTCTCGTAAGTCGCGCTGCTAAGTCTTTGATTAGCTCGTGGAATCAGTCTTTTTGTATGACGTGCCATCAGTTTTTGTTAAGTTGTAGCGCCAGTATTTTCTTAAGTCATGATGTCAGTTTTTTCGTAAATCGCGCCGCTTAAGACTTTTCTTGGCTCTTTTTCCTTTTCCCCCACCTCACGCCAGTTTCAACTTATTAGTGTAACGAGTGGTTTTACGAGGTTGAGTATGAAGACCAAATTTGTTTATCGCGGCCTTTTTGATCTATATGTAAAATTTCATAACAATCGGACAATGTGGTCATCAATTTTACATCTAAAAATTTGCAGGTGGGGGGAAAAGGAAAAAGAGCCCTTTTCTTAAATTTAGCCGCTTAAATCTTTTCTTAAGTCACGCCGTCAATTTGTTCGTGAGTCAAGCCGCTAAAGTCTTTTGCTAAGTCACGCCGTCAATTTTCCGTCAGTCGCACCGTCAGTCTTCTCGTAAGTCGCGCTGCTAAGTTTTTTTTATTTTGTGGAATCAGTCTTCTTGTATGTTGTGCCGTCTAATTTTGTTAAATCCTTGCGTCAGTCTTTTCTAACTAAGTCGCACGTGCTTCTAAGGTCTTTTATTAAGTCGCGGTGTCACTCTTTTTGTAAGTCGTGTCGTCAGTTTTTTTTAAGTCGCGCTGTCATTTTTTTGTAAGTCACGCCGCTAAATTTTTTTGTTAATTCACGCCGTCAATCTTTTTGTAAGTCGTACGGTCAGTTTTTTAAAGTAGCCGAGTGGTTTTTTGTTAAGCTGCGCCGCTAAGTTTTTTCATGAGTCGCACCGTCAGTCTGTTTTCGACATCGCGTTGTCAATGTTTTCTCACGTCACATCAGTCTTTTCGTAATTTTTTTTTCGTAAGTCGCGCTGTCAGTGTTTTTGTAAGTCATGCCTCAGTCTTTTTTTAAATCGCGGTGTCAATCTCTTCTTGAAACGTGCCAGTTAAGACTTTCCGTAAATCTAGCCGCTAAAGTCTTTTCTTAAAACGCGCCGTCAGTCTTTTTGTCAGCCGTGCGTCAGTTTTTTCTTAAATCGCGGCGTCATTTTTTCATAAATCGCTCCGTCAAATTTTTGGAAGTCACGCCGCTAAAGTTTTTGGTTACGTCACACGATCAGTCATTTCGTAAACCGCACCACTAATTAATTTTCTTAGGTCGCGCCACCAATCTTTCTTAAGTCGCGTCGCCAGTCTTTTCGTAAGTCGCGCCGTCAGTATTTTCTCAAGTCGAGCCATGAGTCACTACTTAAGTCGCGCCACTTCAGATTTTCCGTAAAAATCTTTTCTTAAGTTACGAGGCTAAAATATTTTTTTTTGCCTCTACTTTTGTAAGAAGTGAATCAGTCTCTTCCAAGTAGCGGAGTCAGTTTTTTTTGTGTATCGCGCCGCTTAAGACTTTCCTTAAAGCTAGCCGTCAATAACTTTTCTCAAGTCGCACCATCTGTTTTATCGTAAGTCACGCCGCAAAAGTACTTTGTTTAGTCACGCCGTCAATCTTTCCGTAAGTCGCACCGTCAGTCTTGTCGTGAGTCGAGCTGGCTAACTTCTTCATAAGTCGCGCCGTCAATTTTTTTGGTAATTCATGCCGCTAAAGTGTTTTGTAAAGTCACGCCGTCAATCTTTTCGTGGGTCGCACCGTCAGTCTTCTCGTAAGGCGCGCTGCTAAGTCTTTTTTTAATTCGTGGAATTAGTCTTTTTGTTTGACGTGCCGTCAGTTTTTGTTAATTCCTAGCGTCAATCTTTTCTTAAGTCACGCCGTCAGTTTTTTTGTAAGTCACGCCGCCAAAGTTTTCTTTTGTTAAGTTGCGCCATCAATTTTTTTCGTAAATTGTCGCGTCTGTTTTTTTTGGAAGCAGCACCGCTATATTCTTTTCTTAGGTAGCGCCGTCAGACGTTTTTTCAGCTGTGCGTCAGTCTTTTCTTAAATCATGGTGTCAGTCTTTTCGTGAATCGCGTCGCTTAAGACTTTTGTTAAATCTAGCGGCTAAAATCTTTTCTTAAGTCGCGTCGTCAGTTTTTTTCGTAAGTCATACCGCTAAACTCTTTTGTTAAATCACGCCTTCAATCTTTTCTTGGGTCGCACCGTTAGTCTTATTGTAAGTCGCGCTGCTAGGTATATAATGAATTCGTTGAATCAGTCTTTTTGTAAGTCGTGCCATCTGTTTTTGTTAAGGCCTTGTCAGTCTTTTCTTAAGTCGCGCCGTCAGTTTTATTTGTAAGTCACGCGACTAAAGTATTTTGTTGAGTCACGAAGTTGTTCTTTACGTAAGTCGCACCGTCAGTCTTGTAGTAAGTCGTGCTGGCTAACTTCTTCGCAAGTTTCTTTTGGTAAGTCATGCCGCTAAAGTATTTTGTTAAGTCACGCCGTCAATCTTTTCGTGAGTCGCACCGTCAGTCTTCTCGTAAGTCGCGCTGCTAAGTCTTTGATTAGTTCGTGGAATCAGTCTTTTTGTATGACGTGCAATCAGTTTTTTTTAAGTTGGGCCGTCAGTTTTTTTGTAAATCACGCCGCTAAAATATTTTTTTAAGTCACGCCGTCATTCTTTTTGTACGGCGCACCGTCAGATTTCTGGTAAGTCGCGCTGCTAAGGTGTTTTATTAAGACGCGGTGTCAGTCTTTTTGTAAATCATGCCGTCAGTTTTTTTTGAATTCGCGGCGTGGTTTTTTCTTAAGTTGCGCCGCTAAGTCTTTTCATAAGTCGCACCGTCAGTCTGTTTCTACATCGCGCTGTCAATGTTTTCTCTTGTCGCATCAGCATTTTCGTAGTAAGACAGTTCTGACGGCGCGACGTTGCGGTGCTGTTTCCGAAAAAACAGACGCGGCGATTTACGAAAAGATTGACGCTAGGACTTAAACAAAAAAAGAAGGGCACGTCAAACAAAAAGACTGATTCCACGAATTAATAAAAGACTTACGAAAAGACAGTTCTGATCTCGGATTATATCCCCCCTCAAAATTAGTATATAAATTGGCCACCAAAAGTGAATATCTCAAAAAAGCTCAAAACCCACCCCCGCCCCCACCCCTAACTAAATCCACCCGATTGATTACAATTTTTTGATCAGGAGAATGGCGTGCTGTACAGTGTGGAAGTGAGGGCCGTGCAGACTTGTGGAGATTATTTGGTTAATGGCACACTCTCACTCCCAGTCGACATTGTGGCTGGTGAGTCATAACCAGCTGTCACTAATAAATAATCATCTCAAGTCAGTTCTTGGGGTTTCGACCTGGTTTTAGTCTATGTATGCTTTGCCATGGTTAAGTAACTTGGGCAACCTTATCAAAAATTACCTCGTGTTACGATTATCTCATCGATATATTCGATGAGCGACGCTCTCTTTTCTTTTGGGACAAGGAAGAAAACAGTTTTTATTTTCTTTTCTTTTTCTTTTAGACCTGGACGAGTGTGAGGAGTTGGTGGACGAAAGTGGGATGGGGGTGTGTGGCACTCACTCCTTCTGCAACAACACCATCGGCTCCTTCAACTGCACCTGTGAACCGGGCTTCTTCTCAGATCACGGCGATGGCTCCAACTGCAAAGGTAGGTTTAACCTGGTGCAGTTTGAGGTATAATATATCAAAAGTAATTTTATTACCTTATGTGTTGTTGAAAATAATGACTATTATTACTTTTTTACCCTTTTTTGTATGAAACTTACAAATAATTGTATGGTTGTGTAGACTGAGAGAGGAAAACTTCTCAAGTTCTCTGGTCACTTTTAATTATGTTCGAAAACAATGTTTGAAAAACTATCAGCGCAAATATTTTGCTCAAAAATTGCGAGAGCTCAAAGGCCGCAAAGCATCCAAAAACAAACGCTCAAAATGTTTTCTCAGTTCTTTTTCTCAGATTTGGACGAATGTGCGGTATTTGGTGATTTGGCTCTGTGTGGAGCGAACTCGACATGTATCAACACTGAGGGGGGCTATGACTGTCAGTGTCACGTGGGGTTCTACTCGCCACTCGAAACACACACAGACTGCACTGGTCAGTAGAAGAAATTCATTGGCCTTAATATTATTTATAGTTAGTTTGTTTAAGGAATTTTTTAAATCAAAAAATTGAACTTTTTTAAGGGCTTTGAATGTTGCAAAACCATTAGACTTAAACAGAGAACCATTTATGACATACACAATTTTCACAAACTTTCGCTGTAGTCAGTTCTCGTTCTCAAAAACGCTCAGAAAACTATAACTAATTATTCCGAGACTATGAACAAATTTAAGAAAAAATTTAATTTGGTTCCTGAAAAAAAACATGTTTTCAATTCTGTAATGATTTCGCAGACGTGGACGAGTGTGCTTCGGGTATGTATGGTGAAATAGGAATATGTGGGAATTACTCAGACTGTTCCAACACCATCGGAAGCTACTTCTGTTCATGTCATATCGGATTCTACTCGCCCGACTCAACACACCACGACTGCGCAGGCAAGAAACATTTATTTCGAAAGTTTAGAAGACTTTTCTTAAGAAATAAAGAACAACCAATTTTACAATCAACAATACCCAAAAGTGCAGTTTGAGGACGGAACGGAGGCGCCCTCCTCTTAGATGCAATCACCACGTAAGAAAACTCCAACACTCAACTCTTGTAAAAAAAATGTGTTTGCTTACAATCAGGGGCGGATCTAGGAATTTTCGGGGGTGGGAGGGTTTGAATTTTTTCTAGGATTTTCTAAATATTTGTCAACCTTTTTTTTAGGTCGACCAAATTGACTTTTTGAGCTCTCCCAAATCAGTATAAAGACCCATATTTTGACCAAACTTTTTGCACCGCAGGCAAATTTTTGAAAAAAGCAGCTCAAAAAAGACGTTTTTAGGCAGTTTTGGGAAAATTTTGACAAAAAATTGCGTTTATTCGGCGCCTGCTCAACCACCTTTCGAAACAGTTTAGGCTCAGTCAGCCAAAAAGGGATATTTTAAATTAGTACAAAGTGAGGACCCTTTGGGTCGGTAGGAGGTCGAATCCCTGGTGCTTGCAGTGCAGAAGTTTATGACAAATACTTTTTTCAGGACCAATAATGTTTTTTTTTAATCGAGCTCTTTCTACTTTAAAAACATCATTTGGTCCTTTTTTTAAAGAAAAACAAAAGTACAATTATTATCATTCGATTATTAGGTTTACAAGATTTTTAGCAGAAAATAGCAAACTGCTGGTTTTATAGTTGACTCGTGGTGCACTACGAAATTGCTCCGAATTGAATTGAGGCAGCTAATCGGGCTCTTCTTTTACAAACCCTACTCCCAAAGTTTGACACTAAAAACTTGATATTATCAGCCTAAATTGTTTTGCCAAAAATTAATTTAACAAAAAAAATTCAAGACCAATTAAAGGGCAGCCCGGAACCTTCAGGGCTATGCCTTGGCATGAGCAGTCCTGTTCCCTATATGACTCAAAATGTAATACTCGAAACTTGATAATTGTGACGAAACAACAAACAAAGGAACAGAGTTGCTGGAGAAAACAAACAAACAGAGTTCACATTTCAAAATATATATATATATATTGAAGACCATGGGAGAGAAATTGGGCCAAAAAGGTTAAAAATGAAAAGAATTGTTAAAAAAGAATCTATTTTGATTATTTCGAAAGCTGTTTTTTGGTGTTTGAATTCCAGTCGATCAATTTTTTTTCTGGCCAAGTGTTTGAATGATCATTAGAATGTTTATTATGCCAAACAGATTTTAAAAAATTCAAAAAATCTACTCGATTGCTTAGTACTTGTTTTGATGGCTGTTTGTTAGTCGGAAAATTGAATTTATCATTTTTTTTCTCTTCTAGTCCAAAGCTTAACAATGTAGGCAGCATTATTTTTTAGCAATTATTATACGAATTTTTTTAACCGAAAGCAATTTATCCTACGTATGGTCAGTAATATTGCTATTTCCATGCATTAAAATGACAATTCTGCCCGTACAGAAGAAATTCTTTATTTCTGACCTGATATAATTTATATCTAATCTAAAATTCTGGTCAGAAATTCTCTATGAAATTTTCAAATAAAGGAGGGATATTCTTAAAATTTTCTATTTCTCATCTTAATTCTGATCAAAAATTAGCTAAATCTAAGCTATTTCTAGCTATAAAAATTTTTTTCCTGGAGTGGCTCGAACATCGACATTCAATTTGCTAGCTTGTCTAATACAAAGTAACACTTGTTATAACAAGTGTTAATTTGCCTTACATTGCTACTGTTATTGAGTATTCTCGAAGCATGTTTATCTCATTGCGGTTGAGCAGTGAACTGATTTATGGTTTTTTCTTTCTGGAAACTCTTTATTTCTAAAATAGAAAGAAATAGATCATTTCTGCACGCAAAAAAACGAGAAAACGTCGGTAGATAAACTATCTAAAATTTCTATCTTGAAAAATTCAGCCTCCGTTGGGTACGGGTGAGTATGAAAAACTAGAAGTCGCAATTGCGATGACTTGCATTGCTCAAAAAAATTTATTAGAAAAATAAGTGGTTATGCAATTACAACAGAAGGTTCCGACCGCAGTTCTTTAGGAAAAAAATCGAAAGTAAGCCCCATTTCAGTTCTTTGGCTTTTCTACGAAAAAAAAATAATTTTTTTGTTATAAGATGACAACGAGTGTCTGGATGACAATGAAAACCCAACTGGTTTATGTGGCAACTTCTCCGACTGCTCCAACACATTTGGCTCCTATTTCTGTTCCTGCTGGACCGGGTTCAAGTCTCCCTCTGGAGACAACCACGACTGTGAAGGTACACAAGATTGCTTTGCAAGGTCTACCCAGAGTAGTCTTACATTGTGAGTCAAAATTCACAGTTGAAAATGATTGCCGAATATATAAGAATAAGTGACCGAATTGTTTCTGAGCTAAAATTGAAAAATTATAAGTCCAAGTCACAAAATTGAGCACCCACAAAAATTTCATGTTTTTTTTTAAAAATCGGAAATCAATTTCAAACCCATTTTTTTACAGGAAAAGTCAGTAAATACATCCAAAAAACGTTGAACAACGCCAAATCTCGTAAGATCCGGTCTTTAAAAAGGTCTTTATCTTGCAAGATGCAAGCAAGAGACTTGCAAGATGGTTGCAAGATGGTTGCAAGATGGTTGCAATATGGTTGCAAGATGGTTGCAAGATGGTGATGGTTGCAACATAACTCTATTCTCATAAGTTAAGTGGGTTCTCTCAAGTCCACTGATATTGTTTGATTTTGTGTAGATTTGGATGAATGTGTGGAGGTGACCCCTTACGTCTGCAGAAACAACTCCCACTGCTTCAACCTGATTGGCTCCTACTCCTGCGACTGTCACCAAGGATTCAAATCACTCGACGGCACTCATCATGACTGCACAGGTTTTTAAAAAATAGGATTTTTTTATTCCAAGCGAAAGAGCGGAAAATTTTTATCTTCTGTTGACTTCAAATTTCATTTTAGTTTTTCCATTGCAATTAATAAAAAAACAATCTGCGTTGTTGTTCCGACTTTTTTTATGTTTTACTTTCTCAATTATTTGAAGTTAATTTCAATGTTCATATCAGACGTAAATTGAGTAAAACGCATAGAGTGAACAAAATTTTGAAGATATTGACACAGTGAACGCTTTCTGGCGCAAAATTACGACAATTAGGCTAAAACTACTTGCTTGTATTAATGTGACCGAAGTTGTATCCAATTCATGACTTCTATCAACAAATTTTAGTTTATTAGATTATTGAAAACTTCTGGTTGAGATTTTTTGATTAATAATGTCCTTTGCAATCATTAAGAGAAATAGTCTCTAATGTTTTTTTTTGTATTTTCTCACTTAATTTAATTTCATTATCCGTATCGGCCCAGTCCTCATTGTTTTAAAAGGAAAATTTTACAAAATTTGAGGCAAAATTGAATTTATATGATGAACTTAACCAAATGAAGCTGGGTTCTTATCCTCAGTCTCATCAAAAGAGGAAAAATTTTCTAATGCATATTTCAAGAGTGTTTTCGAAAAACTAAAGGAATCTAAAATAAAATTTTGTTTGCGACAAAACTTGATTTTTTTAGCCATTTTTTTCTCTTTCGATCTTTAACATTGGGCTATATATATTTCAGTTCTTTTCCAATCAAAATCAAATAACGTAAATAAATCGAATGATACATTATATTGAAGAGTTTTTGATCTTGAATTGATTGACTTGAAAAAAAATTCAAAAAAACTATCAAATTCTCAATGAAAACTGGTTGAAAACTTCTGCTTCTTAGTTTTTAAGACACTCTATTTTGGAGCTTCATATAACGCCTGCTTGACTATAAAATTTTTTTTATCAGACCTCAAAAATTATCTAGTAAATTTTGTGTTTTTTTGTTTTTTGTTTCCAGTTTTAGATTTACAAAAAGCTGTAGTCAAAACCAAAATGACTTTTCACAACTGTTAAAAGCTTCGTTTTTTTAAAAACTTTGGTAGTTTTGTGGGACAAAAAAATCTATCATTGGGCTGAAAACATTTAAAACACACGACTGACAATGAGATAGTTTAAGCCTAAATGTGAATTTGAATTATGGTCCGGAAAAAAGAGTCTGCAAAATGATATTTGCAATTTCTGAGAATGCTATTTTGGAATATTTTTTTGGAATACAAAATACGACTAAAAACTTGAAGCTTATAATTTTTTTTGAGCTACCTAATTTCGAAAAAAATTTCCTCATGCCTCAGTCACTCCTACTCAAAACTGTAATTGTAAAAAAAGTTATCTCAAGTTTGTGAGCAACCGGACGGAATTTTTGCTATTAGGAATTCTTTCGTCTTTTTATTGAGCTGGATGATAATTTTTTTGGTTTCGCGAACATTTTGGGACATGAGCTAACTTTTCTGAGTTGATCAAAATTTCTGATCTCAAAATTTTTATTAATGAGAATTTTCTACAGTTTTCTGGCCTAAATTTTACCCTACAATTCTTTTGCATGATAAGCGTTCTTTCATTCATATATGAGATTTTTATGAATAGCATTTTGAATTATGCTGTGAAATTTGGTGTTTTTGGACCCACATTAACCAAAGTTTATCTCATAAAAAAAATTCAGTGGTTGAATAGCAACAAACACACAGATAACTGCTTTTGCTAATTTGTCATATAAATCTTAATATGATTTTCCGTCAAAATTAGGTAAAAAACCGTAATTTTTTAAAAAACAAGAAACTTGAAAATCTCATCGGTTGAAAACATTTTCCTGTTTTATATAATTAAAATTGTGCGATAGCATTTTTTCATCCAAAAATCGAAATGTATTCTTTTTTGATGTTCAGAAATCTTCAAAACCGTCACTTGAACGAAAAAAAGTATTTTCAAAAATTGTATGAAAATTGAATGACATTGAATAATCTGGTCCGTTTAGACATTGATGAATGCGTTGAGGTGGATCAAGCTTGCGGGTTGGCCAATTCAACTTGTACTAATCTGGTTGGCAGCCACCTGTGCCAGTGTTTCGATGGATTCTTCTCCGCCAACAGCCAACATAACGACTGTGCAGGTATACTTCAATTAAACATTATGGCTAGAAAATTTGGTATTTTGCCCATATGAAATTACCATAAAAATTGAAATATTTGTATTATATAAATCTTGTCATTAAGCTCAAACTGAGAGACTTTACAAACTCAAAAAAAAAGACATCCAACCCTCGGCGGTGTTACTTAGTTCTACCAGCTTTCAAATCGAATTACAAATTTCAGTTTGATCAAAATCTTAATTGTTTTTTGAAAAAAAAAAAAACGCTAAAATGTATGCAAAATTTTATGGTTGACAGATATCGACGAGTGTGCTTCAAATGTCTGTGGGAACTCATCCAATTGTGTGAATGTTATTGGTTCCTACAACTGTAGCTGCCATTCTGGATATGAATCACCTTCACTCACACACGAAGACTGTATAGGTAAAAATCACATTTAAAACTGATGTCAAAATCACTACAAATAGAGTTTGTTCGCAATCATTAGAAAATTAGTCCAATGTTGACTTTTTCATCTTTTTCGTAGACATCGATGAGTGTTCGCTTGACGCCTCAATTTGTGGAGGTAATTCGAGTTGCAACAACATTGATGGATCTTACGAGTGCTCCTGTGACACCGGCTATGAGTCAGTGGACGGATCAAACACAAACTGCACCAGTTAGTTCAAACTAGTTTCCCTTTTTCCTATACCGTTTCTAAAAATCTTAATTCAGGATATAATTTCAAATTTCAAAATTAAATAAGAATTACAAGCGATTTGTATAATGAATATAAAGTAGGTTTGTAAGGTATAGATCCTCAATAATGAAGTATTGGCCATTTTCATGCACACTTTTCTAACATTTTCAGATATTTTAAGCTGATTGAACCTAAGGCTACAGCTAGTCTCTAAAAAAAACTTCTCAGTGTGCCATTACTTATGTAAATTATAGCCAAATTGCCCCTTCTTGAAAGCTATTTATCAAATTTTTTAAGTATTACTTCCATGTAAATAGATATTGACGAATGTGGGTTGAGTGGGTCCCCCATTTGTGGCAGTAATTCCGACTGCACTGACAATGTGGGCAGCTACACCTGCTCATGTCACCCGGGATACTCTTCAGCCAACGCTTTCCACGACGACTGTCTAGGTAACCATAGACTTAATTGTTTCCAGGGTAAGCATTCTGTCATTTTATATACTTTTTTCTCAAACTTTGTACTAAGCAGGTCATACAATTTGTGACACAGGTATTTAAAAAAATCGAATATATTTTGAGTTTTTCCATTTATCAACAGAGTAATTCATTTTTCCAACATTTGCCTAAGGGGGATCCACAACATGCAAGCTGATCAGCTCGTTAAACTAACCAATGATTTGCCCCTAATTAAGCGGTGCAATTTTTCTGGGATGCAATTTTTCTCGCTCATTTTTTATGTTTTCAAATACTTTCTATGTTTTCTTCGCTTAAAATGCAGTGAATAAATCGTGAAATCTTAAGTTGTTGTTTCAATGAGGCTTTTTCAGTTTGAAGCGTATATTTGTTAAGAAGAGCACAAAAACTCAAAAAGTTATAAAGCGCATAGCGTTCATTTTTATGATTAACACATTTGGAGGCTTGCGGTGAACACCAGGCTTGCGTTGATTTTTTTGTGAGATCAAAATACCAATGTTTTGAGCTCCACAACAAAAAATACATAATTTAATATGGTTTTTGCTAAGTTTCTCAAAAATCCAGAAAGTTTATTTCAGTTAAAAATTCCGATAATCAATTTTTGAACATTTTTTTATATGGTGTACCTAAAGATTTATTTTTGTTGGCCTAATTTTTAGTTCAACTTGAGTGCTTAGATAAATTAGCATTAAGAGACAGGATAAAATATTTGGTTACGTTGTATTATGAATGATTTTTTTATTTTCCCTTGGATAAATAAATAACATCAACCTAATTATTGCGAACATTTCTGCATCTCAAGATCAAAAAGTGTTCGATTTTCAGACATTGACGAATGTGCTAACGATGCCACGATCTGTGGATTGAACTCTCTCTGTAGCAACATACCAGCCTCTTTCAACTGTTCATGCCTATCCGGGTACAAAACACTCGACAACACACACACCGACTGCACAAGTGAGCTAAATGTCTTCTTTAAGTGGTGGGCACTGCCAACCATCAGCCTCCAACCTTAATGTTTTGACCACTTTCTAAAAAGAGGCTGATTTATGCCGTAGGTTGGTTTTTCCTAGCCAATTTTGACAACCTCAAAGAAAAGTGGCACATATTCGAGCTTTAACTGTCTTGATTCTAATTCCAAAATGATATTTCAAGAAAGTTCAATCAGTACCGAAAAAACACTGAAGAGTGTTTGCACTTTTCAGACTGGGTTTCAACTGATTTTCAGACTGATTTTACATCTTCTCTGCCACGAGTAAAATATTTATCTTTTTGTACTTTAACTTGAATGCAGTGCTGCCAATAATGACGTAGAAAATAATTTAAAAATAAACTTTTGATAAGAAAAAGGAAAAAAATTCCAATTAACATTTCCAACTAAAAAATTCCAATTAACATGATTTTGCTCAAAATCGTTGTTGTCCAAAAATTCCGTGCTACTTGCACAGCCAAAGAGTACAATTGTTGCTAATAAAATCAATACTTGTAAGTAAACTCAGTTTCTTTCATAAGAAACATCAAAAACCGGACGAGTGTCCATTTATCCAATTCAAATAAAATTCAAGCAAAGCTTTTTTGTCAATACCCTATTTCTATACCGTAATAATACATAAAAACTATTAGAGAATTTTTTTGTCAAATTCATGCATGTAAAAATTCAGCGAAGAATTTTTTAACTGGTTATTCAAAGTATTTCGAAAATTAACCTGCAAAAATTTTGAAATTTTTTTGTAGGAAAGTTTCTATCTTACAACTTTCTTGTAACAACAGTCACTATCTAACAACTTTCTTTGGAAAAAAGTCCCTATCATTTTGTAAGATTCCTATAAGAAAAATTCTAAGATATTAACTTTTAGTCAACCCTATTTAACCCAGGAAACTACAGGTCCAATTTATCTACTGTTTTTGCTTTTATGCGTTCAAATAACCTTGTTTCATTTTTGTCCATCTATGAGGCTCATAAAGTTTTTCTCTTAGCGAAAGGATTGTTGTTCCAAAAAGCGTTTTGTATATTTTATGCTAATGTTGTTTGTGTTTTCTATCTGCTCATATGCCCAGAATTGAAGTGTCGCGCGCGAGGCATTTATTCCGTTGTTTCGGTTTTCAGATATAGCACGTGACCTCTAATCAGCGGTGGAAAATTGGCCATATTACTAGAAAAAATGTTGGTTATGGCTAAATATGAGCTTTATCAGTGAAAATTTGAAGTTTTTAAGCAACAGTTTTGGCCTGTAGTCAAGAAAATCAAGTTTTGATAACTTTATGCTTAGAAGCTTTTTTTGGGATATTGATAAAAACAGAAAAAAAATAATTCAGATTGGTTTTACTCTTTAGTCCACACTCCTTTTTAAAAAAAATTTTAAAAAATCGTTTTCTCGGCTAATTAATTACTCACCAATCTTTATTTAATGGTTAAGCTACAAAAAAATTCATTTCAATAAAAACGTTCAGGCAGAGGAAAATTTATTTATTTTTCTGACCATTTGAAAAATATGGACGAACTTTGTTTTCGGGTGTTTTCGTTTTTTTTTCACAAAATCAGATACCATAATTAATCATTGGAACGGAACGCCTTACATATCAGTTTAAAACCTCGCTATTTGTGATTTGATTTATATCATAAAGTTTTGAAAAACAGTTCTCAGTGTCAAGAAAAACCACTTCGAATTTTTTTGATTTTTGGTCTAAATTCAAGTTAATAAGCAGGCTCACAAAAGCTTGCTTATGCTTAATAAAAACCGTAAAAAATTTTTTTTACTCAATTAAAGTTAGGTTTGGGAGTTTCTTAGAGCCAATTTGAGAATCAAAAACATTCTGCCAAAAAAATTTGAAAAATTGTTTGAAACTTTGTGAATTTTCTACCAATTTTTTTTGAGTTTCTAGTCAATTTTCTACACAAACTGTTTTCCAAGTGGCCTTTTTTACTATGAGTATCAAATTTGTATAATTGCTTTTTTGTTCAGTTTTTTATCATCCTGCGCACAAAAAACGACATTAATTTGAAAAGACTTTTTAGTCTTTTTTCAGACTATCGTCAGAACCATCTGTGATACTTGCACAGTAACAGGCTATCCTTCTTAGATTTTGCTGATACTCAGTTTAAAACACAACAAAATTAATAAAAATGACAGCCCAAAAGCTGTTTTTTTTTTCATTTTGCATTCAGACAAATCGGTTGAGGAAAAGTTAGCTGATTTAAAAGTCAATGATAAAAATTGCAACAAGATTTTAGCCGTAAATTGTGTTTTTTTGAAAAATATTTTACGATGCTTACGTTTAAACTGAGACGATTTCATCAAGTAAAATGGGGCGTTAATCAGTGCCGAAGAGGTGCAGTACAACAGTGCCTAAAAGAAAATGTTGTTCAACAGTGCCGAAAATTATTTTGAATTATATTCTTACTGCTTCCAAATCACTGACTCTATATTATTTTATATCGAAAGAAGTTGAACAGTCAAAAATGGCCCTTTTGATTGATGCCGCTTATTAAACAAACAAAAATTCTCCAAGCGCAGCGTCAAAAATTTTTTTGAAAAAAAAACTGAGCAAGTTTTGTTCTCGCTTTCGGTGCAAAACAAAACACTATTCGATCAAAATGCCAACAAGTTGTAAACAGAATTCACCTTTTTTGAACAGCCTCATTTTTTGGCGCTGTTGAACACATTTTTCTTATCGGCACTGTTGTACTTCGGAATTGTTGAACTTCACCGCCGAAGAACAACTGTGCCAAAAAAAATGAAAATAGTTTGACCGTAATTTCTAAAGACAGGGATATTACTGACGCTAATTAAGAAAAAAAGTCACTCCAAATTTGGCAATAAATTGTCTGCAGCTTCAAATTTGTCAGTTATTTTGGCATCAAAACTTCTAAGTTACAATTTTTCTCGCTTCAAATGCTAATGTGTGTCCACTTAAGATTAAAATTGATCGCGGTTTAATTATCGATTGCCGGATTTGAAACGCTAAACTTTGTTCCTTCAAAAAGGGTTGTTTACCAATTACCAAAACGAAGAAATTGTGCTACCTTGACAGAAAAAAAAACATTTAAAATTAAGTACTTTTTACTGTTGTGTACAGTAAGTTTACCAGGCAATAAGTGCCTATAATTTGGGCGGATTTATTAATTTTCCAGCTACTCGCAACCATCTTGCCGTCGACGATTACTTACAAACTGCTGAAGTTTGCCAAATAATTTTGTCAGCTATCAAGTATTAGCCCTTGATATGTATGTACGAAATACATGAAGAATTGGTGTATTTTATCTGAGCAAAGAATGGGCAAAATCTTATCTGGAAAGCAGTTTCGTTTTAAAAAGAATTTTAGAATGGGGGCATTTGTCATGGCAACTAGATTTTTTATTGAAAGTATTGCGGACTGCGATTTAATAATGATATACGGCGTGAATTTCAAAGTCTTATTTTGTTCGCGGTTTTATAATAAGATGAAGCTATTTGGATTTTTTTTCTGATTTGGATTGCGAAATCGATCATTTTTGCAATGAATTATAAACTTTACATTTTTCTGCAAAATCATTTGCAAAATTTGCAACGTTTCTGCGCTCCACTCGGCCTACTCGCAATCTAAACCTACTCAAATTAACCTCCCACCCCCCAACTTCTCCCCAACCGCATTTGCCCAATTCCCTCCCCCCACTCCCCTGCGTTTAAACCTACGCCCACCCCCATGCTTACGTAAGTTTATCCCCATGTGAAAAATAAAATTTTATGAAACGTAATACGTAGCAATTGCACGAAACAGGAAATGAGATGACTTTGAAAAAAACTGCAAAATTCATAATTTCTTCTCAAAACGAAACAAGAATTGAGATGTTTTTGAAAATTTTTTTTGCAAAATTCAAAATTCTCAAAAATAAATTATAACTGATTAAAATCTATTATAATGGATTATAATGATTAAAAAATTATTATGACTATAATCCATTCTTAATGGATTATAATCAATTGTAATCGATTATAATGGATTATTTTGATTTGAAAAATATTAGGATTATAATCTGTTTTTCATGGATTTTAATCGATTATTTTTGTAATTTTGTAGACACTGACTACAAAATGACAAAATAATCGATTACTATCCATGGAACTCTAGTGCGGTTGTTTATAGTGTGTTTGCTTCAACAAAAAAAAATGAGTGAACTTATCAAAACTCTACCAGCTGACTTGCACAATTGGAATTTTTAATTACATAAAGTTTAATAAACATCAATAGCACAAGGGTAGCATAGATGCCTCCATTATGAAAGATAGATGGTTTAGAGTAGGAGACGGTTTTTTAAGGGATTCGACCCCCTGCCGACCCAAAGGGTCTACATTCAAACTATTTTGAGATATCCATTTTTGGCTCATTGACCCAAAATGTTTCTGAAGGCGCCTTGGGCGCCAAAATATACTAAATTTAAGGGGGGAGTGCGCGCCGAAAAAAAGCAATTTTTTGGTCAAAATTTTTCAAAATTGTCTAAAAACGCATTTTTGGCCTTTTTTTAAAAGTTTTTACTGCGGCCCAGGAAATTCGGCCAAAATAGGGTCTTATTAGTGCTTTGGCAGAGCTCGGAAAATCAACTTGATCCAACATAAAAAGAAAGTCGACACAAAAATTTTCGAAGACTTTTTGAAAATTTGCACCCCCCCCCCCCTCGAGAAAACCCTAGATCCGCCCCTGAGCCAGACTAATTACTTCCAAATTCAGTTATCGTCTAAAAATCACACCAACTAATTTAAGTTCACTTTTTTCGTTTTACAGACGTCAACGAGTGTACTGAACTGGACACAGTTTGTGGACTCAATTCACAGTGCACAGACAATGTAGGATCCTACACTTGTGCTTGTGATGGAGGATACTACTCGCCAAACACCAATCACGACGACTGTATTGGTAAGCGACCTCAGGATCCGAAAAGAATTCAATAAATTTAGATAAACGGTTCAACTGATAGCGTATCCTACTGTTAGTCATCACTATTACAAAGCTTTAAAAACAACCCTCGAAAACTCTCTAAAGCTAGAACAATTTCTAATTAGATACCAATGTTTCGTTATGGCTGCTGTTGCTTTGGGCGGTAAGAAAAAGAAACCATTTCAATTTTAAACAAAAGTTGTTAATTTTGGTTAACTTGTGCCGACTTTTTGTATTTTTTATTGATTGCAAGGAAATTCTTTTGAGGCATTTTACTGGTTATTTTGAGGCACCTTTCATCATCCCTGAAGATTATTTAACAAAGTTTCCTGGAACGGTTTGTGTGAATTATCCTTCTACCAGAAAATCAACACCTTTACCTTTCAAAGGGTCCTCTTCGGTATCCTTTTTTAAGTTCAATTTTGACAAGACTTTTGAAAATCTCTCGTGGAAATTTACGAGGCCTCCACAAAAGTTTAGTTTTGACAATTTTGTTCGTTTTGCGCCTGATGCTTATTGATAAGATTTAAAACTAAAATATGAGCGTTGTTGATTTTTTTGTTTTTCAGTAAGTGCAAAGTGTTGTTCTTGACATAAATGTTGTAAATGTAAACAAAGTGTTGCACAGACATAAATGAATGTGACGCCAACATTTGTGGATCGTACTCGGACTGTGCCAATCTGGAGGCTTCTTACAGTTGCAATTGCCAAAATGGGTTTGAGTCTTCGTCGGGGTCCCATGAAGATTGTATTGGTTAGTCAATTGTCAACAATTCGAGGTTATTCAATCCTAGTGTTGTAAAATGAAGCGGTTTCATTTTGATACGCGAGTAGATATCAACGAATGTGCGAACGGCCCAAATCTGTGTGGCTTTAACTCAAACTGTAACAATGCTGTTGGATCCTTCAACTGCGAATGTGATCCAGGATACGAAAGTCTTGATGGTAGCAACAAAAATTGTTCAAGTAAGAATTGTTCGATAGTACTTTCAATGCAATAACATTTTTTGTATTGGATCCTTTAATTTCAATAAGTCAAGTTCAGAGTTTTTCTACATATACGGAGTAAAAGTTATGCTAAATAAAGACCTAGCATTTTGTAAATGATCAACCGAAAGACCTACTTACTTAAGAAGGAATAATATAATGAAACAATAATAATTCATCAAAAATTTTCTTAATTCAGTTTTTTTTCGTTTAAAAAAGTACCATGATTAGTTTTCAATTTTTAACCTCTTTCAGCTGCTTTTTTTGTCATGTAAGCCATACCTTCTGTAATGCAGTGGCATGCAGTGCAAACAAACGTTTTTTTTTTCAAACATGTTTCAGATTCAAAATTTTCACTGTTGAATCTGAACTCTTTTTTGGGTTTTGAATATTATCGCATGCTTAGTTCCAATGATTTAGACATAAATGAATGCAGTTTACCCAACCCAATATGTGGCTCGACCTCTGATTGCAGTGACAACATTGGAAGTTATTCGTGTGCGTGTCATAACGGATATGAAACTCTAAATGGAAACTCTGATGACTGTACAGGTGAAACCAATTTTTCATCTATGGCTTGAGATTTCCAAATTTTGAGTTCAACACTAATCAAAACTTTTTTATTTTATTTGTGTAACTAATGAATGTTTTATAGACATTGACGAATGTACGCAGAGTCCAAGCATCTGCGGAACTAATTCTATCTGTGCAAATGTGCCGGCTACTTACACTTGCTCTTGTGAAACTGGATACGAGTCTGCCGATAACACGAATTGTCTAGGTACAAAAAACGCACTCAATTTTTTTTAGGGAAACTTGTCCATCTTTTAGTAATTTTTTTTCGAAAAAACATGCGGTTGTTGTTTAAGCAGCGCAAAAATTCCCAACTCAATGGTTTTCCTGAAGAACTTCAATAATTATTGATAAGAAATTAAAACAAGAAAAAACTGATTTAAATTTTTTTAAGAAAATTTTTTTTAAACGAAATGATATAAAAAAATTAAAAATTTACACTTATTTTTTCGTAAAACACATAAAAATTGCAGTATATTGAATTGGGTGTAAACAGGTACGAATTGAACTACACAAAATTGTAAATTTGCTCTGAAAATTTGAAAATTCGGAAAATTTTTCACGACACTGATATCAAAAAGCATTGGAAAAAAAATCGGTGCCATAGTTCCTTCCAACTTTGTGAAGCAATCAAAAAAATGAATCAAACGCCATTTAAAATTAATCAAATTATTTTTTACTTGCAATAAAATTAAAATAAAATTATAATGGCAAAAGATCAGGTAAAAAAATTCGAAATTTAGCAACGAAATTAGAAACATTTTTTTTTGAATAAGCAAAGGAAAAGATAAGATTCGGAACCGAAGATTGTTTGCATATAGCTTTTTGATAATAGGTCTGTAGATAGTTAAAATAAATTGGATAATTTTTTTCACTTTAAAAGAAAGGACAATTAACAACAAGATTTTCAAGGTCGTTCACCAAATTGTTAGGCTACGAAATCAATCAAAATTGAGTTTCATAAAAATTCAAATTAAGTTTCGTTATTTAGATACTGACGAGTGTACGGTGAATGCAAACATATGCGGAACTGATTCAACGTGCACAAACTCAGTCGGCTCATACTCTTGTTTTTGTGCATCTGGCTACTTTTCGGCAAATACTATGCACAATGATTGTCAGGGTAAATTGAGTACTTTCAAATTGATTTAGTTATTTTGAACTCAAGTTTTGTTTGTAATATGGTAATTCTTAGACATAAATGAGTGTGATAGTAACTTTTGTGGATCATACTCGGACTGTGTGAACTTGGTGGGTTCTTATAGTTGCAATTGCCAGACTGGATTTGAATCCCCGTCAGGATCTCATGAAGATTGTGTTGGTTAGTCAGAACTTTTCCTCTAGTGTTATTAGCATTTTATTTTTCTTTTATCCAATTAGAGGCAGTTTTCGTAATTGCTTAGATATCGACGAATGTACCAACAGCCCAAGCCTATGCGGCTTAAACGCAAATTGCAACAATATTGAAGGTTCTTACGCGTGTGAATGTGAAACAGGATACGAGAGTTTGGATGGAAGCAACACAGATTGTACAAGTAAGACAATTCTGAATATATCCGCGGCTTTGTGGTCCACCAAATGAACAGAACAGGTAGAAGGATTTGATTTTGTAGATACTTCCGGTTTTACTAGTAACATTGTTTTGTTAATCAATGCCCATTTTAAAACATTTTTTCTTAGTGCACTGGTTCAATCATTGGTCTGTTTTGGGTTCCGCACTTAAACTGTGTGGAATTTGCAAATTTTTAGATTTCAAGTTGATTAATGATTATTTGTGACTCTAATTAAAAATATGTTTTTTGAGACTTGAGAAAAAGTATTGAAAACTTATCAGCAGACTTTTGGGTGCACTATTGAAAAAAAAACCATTTTTCTTAGATATTAACGAATGTGGCTTGCCTGGTCAAATTTGTGGCCTTAATTCGGACTGCACTGACAATGTTGGAAGCTATTCGTGTGCTTGTCATGGCGGCTATGAAACATTGAGCGGCATTTCAGATGACTGCACAGGTACTATAGTACTATTTAACTCAAAATCAGTGTTTCCAAAACCCGTCACCTGGAATAATTTTTTAGACTTCATCGAAGAAAATATTTTTATAATAAGAAACTTTTCTCGTTTGTTTCTCATAAATACTTGTTTTTACCTCTATAGACATTGACGAATGTTTGCAAAGCCCAGCCGTTTGCGGAACAAATTCAGTTTGTTCAAACTTACCGGCCACATACAGTTGCTCTTGTGAAACTGGTTACGAATCTGCCGATAACACCAACTGCATCGGTACGTTCAATTTAAATTGCTCTTGATAGGTGATAGACAGGCTTCTGAACTTCGGCTACTTGTTGAACTGTTTTCTTCTAGTTTCTTCAAGTTAGAACAAAATGCTGATTTACTTCAAGTTAGAATAAAATGCTGATTTATGTCATCTGTCATTTTCAATTGCAAATCTCAGACTTTATACTCATTAACAAAACATCCATCTGTACCATTTAGAGTTGGAAGAAATTTTGTGGTTTAATTAGTCGCGAAAGATTTTGTGGTTTAATTAGTCGCGAAAGACGGGAGTCTGCGCTCTGATTTAAACCAGTTCTATCAAATGGGATTAGAAAGAGCAATATTTACAAGCTCGCGACGCATCTCAGATGTAGGTGTTTGGGCAGCAGTAACGCGGGTGGGTGTGGGTGTGGGGAGGTGGAGGCTAGGAGCAGAACAAGGGTTAAGCAGGCGCAGCAAACAGCTTAATATCCATAATTAATTTCAATTACTCATCTCCATTGAGAACTTGAAATGATGTTAGAATTCAAATGAACTGACAATCAGACTGTTTTGAGATATTGACGAATGCACTGCCACTCCCAATATCTGTGGAAGCCAATCGACATGTTCAAATTCAGTTGGCACATATGCATGCTCGTGTGCTTCTGGCTACTTTTCGGCAAATACTATGCACAATGATTGTCAGGGTAAATTGAGTACCTTCAAATTGATTTAGTTATTTTGAACTCAAGTTTTGTTTGTAATATGGTAATTCTTAGACATAAATGAGTGTGATAGTAACTTTTGTGGATCATACTCGGACTGTGTAAACTTGGTGGGTTCTTATAGTTGCAATTGCCAGACTGGATTTGAATCCCCGTCAGGATCTCATGAAGATTGTGTTGGTTAGTCAGAACTTTTCCTCTAGTGTTATTAGCATTTTAATTTTCTTTTATCCAATTAGAGGCAGTTTTCGTACGGTATATTTATTGCTTAGATATCAACGAATGTACCAACAGCCCAAGCCTATGCGGCTCAAACGCAAATTGCAACAATATTGAAGGTTCTTACGCGTGTGAATGTGAAACAGGATACGAGAGTTTGGATGGAAGCAACACAGATTGTACAAGTAAGACAATTCTGAATATATCCGCGGCTTTGTGGTCCACCAAATGAACAGAACAGGTAGAAGGATTTGATTTTGTAGATACTTCCGGTTTTACTAGTAACATTGTTTTGTTAATCAATGCCCATTTTAAAACATTTTTTCTTAGTGCACTGGTTCAATCATTGGTCTGTTTTGGGTTCCGCACTTAAACTGTGTGGAATTTGCAAATTTTTAGATTTCAAGTTGATTAATTTGGAGAAATTTTGATTATGACTCTAATTAAAAATATGTTTTTTGAGACTTGAGAAAAAGTATTGAAAACTTATCAGCAGACTTTTGGGTGCACTATTGAAAAAAAAACCATTTTTCTTAGATATTGATGAATGTGGCTTGCCTGGTCAAATTTGTGGCCTTAATTCGGACTGCACTGACAATGTTGGAAGCTATTCGTGTGCTTGTCATGGCGGCTATGAAACATTGAGCGGCATTTCAGATGACTGCACAGGTACTATAGTACTATTTAACTCAAAATTAGTGTTTCCAAAACCCGTCACCTGGAATAATTTTTTAGACTTCATCGAAGAAAATATTTTTATATTAAGAAACTTTTCTCGTTTGTTTCTCATAAATACTTGTTTTTACCTCTATAGACATTGACGAATGTTTGCAAAGCCCAGCCGTTTGCGGAACAAATTCAGTTTGTTCAAACTTACCGGCCACATACAGTTGCTCTTGTGAAACTGGTTACGAATCTGCCGATAACACCAACTGCATCGGTACGTTCAATTTAAATTGCTCTTGATAGGTGATAGACAGGCTTCTGAACTTCGGCTACTTGGTGAACTGTTTTCTTCTAGTTTCTTCAAGTTAGAACAAAATGCTGATTTACTTCAAGTTAGAATAAAATGCTGATTTATGTCATCTGTCATTTTCAATTGCAAATCTCAGAGTCTATACTCATTAACAAAACATCCATCTGTACCATTTATAGTTGGAAGAAATTTTGTGGTTTAATTAGTCGCGAAAGACGGGAGTCTGCGCTCTGATTTAAACCAGTTCTATCAAATGGGATTAGAAAGAGCAATATTTACAAGCTCGCGACGCATCTCAGATGTAGGTGTTTGGGCAGCAGTAACGCGGGTGGGTGTGGGTGTGGGGAGGTGGAGGCTAGGAGCAGAACAAGGGTTAAGCAGGCGCAGCAAACAGCTTAATATCCATAATTAATTTCAATTACTCATCTCCATTGAGAACTTGAAATGATGTTAGAATTCAAATGAACTGACAATCAGACTGTTTTGAGATATTGACGAATGCACTGCCACTCCCAATATCTGTGGAAGCCAATCGACATGTTCAAATTCAGTTGGCACATATGCATGCTCGTGTGCTTCTGGCTACTTTTCGGCAAATACTATGCACAATGATTGTCAGGGTAAATTGAGTACCTTCAAATTGATTTAGTTATTTTGAACTCAAGTTTTGTTTGTAATATGGTAATTCTTAGACATAAATGAGTGTGATAGTAACTTTTGTGGATCATACTCGGACTGTGTAAACTTGGTGGGTTCTTATAGTTGCAATTGCCAGACTGGATTTGAATCCCCGTCAGGATCTCATGAAGATTGTGTTGGTTAGTCAGAACTTTTCCTCTAGTGTTATTAGCATTTTAATTTTCTTTTATCCAATTAGAGGCAGTTTTCGTACGGTATATTTATTGCTTAGATATCAACGAATGTACCAACAGCCCAAGCCTATGCGGCTCAAACGCAAATTGCAACAATATTGAAGGTTCTTACGCGTGTGAATGTGAAACAGGATACGAGAGTTTGGATGGAAGCAACACAGATTGTACAAGTAAGACAATTCTGAATATATCCGCGGCTTTGTGGTCCACCAAATGAACAGAACAGGTAGAAGGATTTGATTTTGTAGATACTTCCGGTTTTACTAGTAACATTGTTTTGTTAATCAATGCCCATTTTAAAACATTTTTTCTTAGTGCACTGGTTCAATCATTGGTCTGTTTTGGGTTCCGCACTTAAACTGTGTGGAATTTGCAAATTTTTAGATTTCAAGTTGATTAATTTGGAGAAATTTTGATTATGACTCTAATTAAAAATATGTTTTTTGAGACTTGAGAAAAAGTATTGAAAACTTATCAGCAGACTTTTGGGTGCACTATTGAAAAAAAAACCATTTTTCTTAGATATTGATGAATGTGGCTTGCCTGGTCAAATTTGTGGCCTTAATTCGGACTGCACTGACAATGTTGGAAGCTATTCGTGTGCTTGTCATGGCGGCTATGAAACATTGAGCGGCATTTCAGATGACTGCACAGGTACTATAGTACTATTTAACTCAAAATTAGTGTTTCCAAAACCCGTCACCTGGAATAATTTTTTAGACTTCATCGAAGAAAATATTTTTATATTAAGAAACTTTTCTCGTTTGTTTCTCATAAATACTTGTTTTTACCTCTATAGACATTGACGAATGTTTGCAAAGCCCAGCCGTTTGCGGAACAAATTCAGTTTGTTCAAACTTACCGGCCACATACAGTTGCTCTTGTGAAACTGGTTACGAATCTGCCGATAACACCAACTGCATCGGTACGTTCAATTTAAATTGCTCTTGATAGGTGATAGACAGGCTTCTGAACTTCGGCTACTTGGTGAACTGTTTTCTTCTAGTTTCTTCAAGTTAGAACAAAATGCTGATTTACTTCAAGTTAGAATAAAATGCTGATTTATGTCATCTGTCATTTTCAATTGCAAATCTCAGAGTCTATACTCATTAACAAAACATCCATCTGTACCATTTATAGTTGGAAGAAATTTTGTGGTTTAATTAGTCGCGAAAGACGGGAGTCTGCGCTCTGATTTAAACCAGTTCTATCAAATGGGATTAGAAAGAGCAATATTTACAAGCTCGCGACGCATCTCAGATGTAGGTGTTTGGGCAGCAGTAACGCGGGTGGGTGTGGGTGTGGGGAGGTGGAGGCTAGGAGCAGAACAAGGGTTAAGCAGGCGCAGCAAACAGCTTAATATCCATAATTAACTTCAGTTACTCATCT